GAGGCTGTCCCTTCCCAGCAGCTTGCTGCCTCTCTCACCAAAAAGCGGGCTGTGGTCATGGAAGCCGAAGCCTTCCCAGTGACACCAGCGCCGCAGTCTTTGGTTCACTACCTGGATCCTTCTCTCCCTCCGTAGCCCGAAACCGGAAGGATCGAGGAAAACACCACCTGCGTCCCCAACCCCTTAAGCCCTGCTCCTAAATCCCTGTAGTGCCTCATGACCTGGCTGGGAGCGCTCCGAGCCATGTCCTTGGTGCCCACATGGATGAGGAGCATAGGGTAGTGGTCTGTGGGCTGGAGGAGTTTAGGCATCTTCTCTGCAATGTCTCAGATATGGGCTCCCAGGAAGCAGCAGATTTCCCAGGCCAAGGGGTCGGGGTGGCAGATTGCCCCCTCTGTCCCCCTCAGGATGGAGTTTCCCACACCAAACACTTTGCGTTCTCTCTTAGGGAGAGCAGGGGCAGTAGCTACAGTTGAGCCTGTGTTGCCTGCAGGAGCTGGCAGCTTGGCAGACTCTGCTGGGGCTTCACGAGGTTCACACCTGTTGCAAAGCTCCAGCGGGGCAGGGGCCTTGGTGTGGCGGGCCTTGGGGCCCTTGACCACCTTGGTCTAACCCTGTGGCTGGACAGAATGGGAGGTGCCCAGGTCCTCCCTTGTCCTGGAGGGAGACCGTGGTCTACCCTCCATCTCCCGTGGTAGAAGGGCCTGGCAGTAGGAGTCCTCCTGCTTGCAGTCCCTGATGGCATGCAGTCTCTGGACTGTGGCTTGGGCAGACAAGCGTGTCTGTTTGTGCGGCTCCCTGGGGGGCTGGGCGAAGTAGGGGCCAGGGCAATGCGAGACTCTCCCCGGTTCCTACTTGGCTGCCTCCCACAGCTGAGCTGGGCTAGTCCCCTCCCACCACAGGCCCTGCTTGGCTGCTGCTGGGGGTTGGCGGGGGGGGCTCCGCAGCAGTTGGGGGTTGCTGGGGGGCTTTGGGGTGTGGGGGCATGATGGGTTTTGCCCGTGCATCTTGCACCGCTCCCTAAGCCCCTCTCTCTTTCTGCCCCTGACTCACTAAATCAAAGTCTCAGCACCTTCTGTGAGCACCTGCAATCCACTTATTGAGCAGCCTTCCTGGTGCCCTCTTGTAACCTCCACACTCTCCTTCAAGCCTTCTTTCTGGCAAAAATAGTCTCCATCTCTGAAACTTTCACTAGTCCTGCAGAGCTCCTTCTCCTTCAGGATGTGGGCCAGAATGACTGTAGCCTACAGGCCAGGCTTCTATACCCCTTTGAATCAACCACCCTCTGGCCACCTGCCTTCCTACTGTGATCAGACACAGGGGTGATGCACCAAGCCAGTTGTGTTCAACCTCCAACCTGCCAGCAAGGTCTGGCTCATGGAGCTGTATTATCCAGCCTGCAGAGCTCCCCATGGGTCCAAAAGATTTGGTGATGTGGGTGCAGTGGCAGCATTAATTGCCACTCCCCTACTGCCAAACTTCTGGACACACAGGAAGCACTGCAGGCCAAAATAATGTAGCTTTGTACTGTAGATCCTACAAGTGCATGGGGCAGGGCCAGCATGCAGACTGGATTTGGGTGTGCAGGGTGGGGTTGCTGTGCTGGATTGCACCCATGTACTGACCCCACATGCCTACCCCATGCTGGATCTGGTGTGCCCCCATGGTCTGAAGAATAGTGTGCTGCACCCCTCTCTAGGAAATTCAGGATCTACCCATGAAGGCACTTGACTGGCTAGTCAGATGTGCATCAGGGGACAGGATGTTGTATGCGTAAGATTTTCTTCCCAAAAATTCTAGAGAGAAATGGAAATGGCCAGAGAAGGGCAAGCGTCTAAGAGTTGCTGTGATAGCTGGCCCTTGTCTAAAGTGTCCCAGGTCTAGGATGCTTTAGTCCCCCAGTGGCTTAGTTGGGAAATGCAAGCTGACAGTCTGGCACACAAGACTTTGGCTTGGTCAAAAGTGGAAGCTGCAAAGGTGTGATTCTTTAAGCTGGCAAAATCCCCTCTGTTATGAGTTAGTAAGACCCAGGTGAGACTGGTAGAGCTGAGACAGTATAGGCCAGTCATGGGCAAAATACCACCTGTGGGCCACATCTGGCCTGCCAAGGGACTTTCTGTCCCCCCATGGGTCCCTCATCTTCAGCCAGCCCAAGCTGTGGCAGGTGCAGCCAGTCCTGCTGCCCCTGGGTGTGCAGTGGAGCTGGGGCAGCGCAGTGGCTGGACTTGCTTCTTAGTAGCCTCTGCAGTGGTGGCACCTTCCACTGCCACTCTTTGCCAGTGCTGACCCAGCAGTGCACAAGCACTGTGGCCTATCTGCCCCGTACCCACTGCTGGGAGTGCTAGACGGAGTGAGCAGGCAGGGTTTCCATGGAGACCAGCTAGGACCTGTGCAGGCAGGGTGTGTGGCTGGGTAGATGGAAGGGGGCCGCGAGCGTGCGGGGAGTGGCATTAGTGTGGTGCTGCTCCCCACTTGCCTGCCTGCCCGCAGCCCCATCTGGCCTGCCTGGCCATGCGCCTTGCCTGGGTGGGTCCCTGCCAGTCTCCAGGGAAGACTCCAGGATCGCTGGGCAGTGATAGCGTGGGGCTGGGGCCCAGGGCAGAGCTGTGATCTGCTCCATGCAGGCCCCTGGCTGTGGAATTGGCATCTGTCACAGGGATGTTGGGCATTGGGTCCCAGCTCTGCTCTAGGCCCTGCACTGTCACCACCCTGCAATCCTGCCCTGATCCTGGCCCTGCCCACCCATCCTGCTCCTGGACACCTGCTTACCCGTGGCCCTATCCCATCCAATCAGCTGCTTAGGGAGTTTTGATGAGCTGGGGGAGGGGTGCTGACCTGGCCTGCAACAACTCACCAAAACTCCCTAAGTGGCCCTTAGGCCCAAATACTTGCCCACCCTTGCTACAGGCCAATTATTTTGGGTGGAGGGCCGCTTACTGAATTTTGGCAAGCCAGCGAGGCCCGCATGATAGGCAGCCAGGGGCAGATAAATATTAATTTTCTAAATTTTTTAGGGGCCCCATGGGCTGGACAGAATGTTCTGCTGGGCCGTATCTGACCCCCGGGCCACATTTTGCCCACCCCTGCTATAGGCCAAGGAACTGGCCCTGGCACATCTTGGCTTGTTCAGTGGCCGGGCCGTGGAAGACGGGGGGGTTGGGTTTAGGACTGAAGGACGTCCCTGAAAGTGTGAGAACAGCCGGAGTATGTCTCAAAGGGGCAAGTGATGAAATCCAAGTCGGGGTGTATCACAGTCTGCTGCTTTTCTTATAACTTGCTTTACCTGAAAGTTGGTATCAATCCTGCCCCCAGGTGCTCTTCTTGAATTGCAAGACCTGTAACTGGCACTCAGGGGTGGTGTAACTGTCCCTATTGCAGCACCACTACTTTGTGGGAACAGCAGATGGGATCCTCCAGCTAGGGAAAGCTCTTGTCCCAGGCTTGTAACCACTGGACCATGCAAGACAATCCAGTCTTGGGGCCACTGTTATAGCTGCTGTCAAACGGCCCTCCTCTGCCCGCTCCACACCAGGTTAGTTGAGTTGCTTTGCATCATCAGCGATTCTTTGGGCGAAGTGACCTGGTGGCACCCATCGCCTCTCCGGCCATGGACGGCCGTCGGCTCGAACCTCATCCACCCTTTAACCGGTCTCCGCAGTCCTGCCGGGTGTCCACGGCCGCTCCTCGCCCAGCCAGGGGGTGCTGGTTTAGTTGCCGAAACCTGACGGCGGAACGGGCCGTGCTGGGAGCAGAGGTCTGGCCTGACACGTGGGCC